TTTTCATCCCTTCTACAAACCTTTCATAAATCTCTGCTACCTGGTATTTGTTTTCTTCTCCCTTTTTGGTCCCTTGCTCTGTCTTGGGAGAGCTGGGGGTGCTGGAGGTCTTTTATTTCCTTGCTTCCCTATTCTCCTATGTCTATGCTCATTTGTGTGTGTATGTGTGTGTGTGTGTCTGTGTGTGTGTATTAAAAAATTATATCTGACCCTCTCTTTTTCTCTTCCTTTTTTGGGGGTACTATAGTTTGGAAACTAGAGAAGTGAGGAGAGTTTGTGGCTTATATAGAGACTTTTAGTAGGATGTTGCTTCCCCATGAATAATTTTCAGCGATGTCCAGTGCTAGTAGTTACTCCTTCTGTTATTTACTTTAAGTGATTGTGACTCTGTCCCTGTGTTTTGCTGAAAGGATTGCTTCTAGTTACAGCAGCTTCCACAGACTCAATCTTACAACACTGCTGTATCACCGTCCTTGCTGTTACACTTCCGCGTCTATTCGCTCTGCACACCATGACAGTTTATCACCTGCCGCTGCTCTGCAGTGAGGTGAGGTGGGGCAGGAGGGTGGGAGGCGGTCGGGTAGGAGGGTCGACACTAAGTGGGGTTTGGAGCAGGGACTGGTGGTGGATGAGAACAGGTTGATGTGGGGTCTGATTTCACTGGAGTACTCTTGGCTGAGTTGAGGCGTTGGTATTAAGTGCTTTCAGAGGATATTTTGTAAGGGCAAGGGCGATACATAAGAGAAAGGGGGTTTATTTTGTGACTGAGAAAAATCTATGTGGTTGTCCGAACTTGCTGGTAGGGTGATAAACTAGGTAAGATGTGGAAGAGCCAAAGGTTTAAGGTGAGGACTGTGGTGGAATAACAGCAGAGGAGGCAGGAGTGACTGAGGGAGCTAAGAATGGGGAATTTAAAAGCTTGGGAGGAAGAGTTCGCTTGTGGGAAAACCATAAAGAAATATGTTAATAATATCGTCTCAGGTGTGTGAGGTGAAGGAAGTAGAGAGTGAGCTGAGAGAAGACCTAGACACTGACTAAACCCGAGCCAGTGAAAGAGCAAATACACAGAAGTCACCACCTACAAAACAGGAATATAACCCAACTCCACACTACTAACGAAGTCAAGAAACAGACAAAAGCTTAAACTTGTAAGATATCTGATGGGAGCACAGATTAAATTCCAGCGAGACCCTGCACAGCAGTTTGCCAGTCTGAGCGCTCACACGCCAGTAACTCCTCTGACCCCTCCGCCGCGGCACTGACGCTGCCAGCCCCAGGACTTCTGTGTGCCAGGCTGCGGCGTTCTTGCAGCGCCTGATCCAGTCTGAGATCCGGGGTTAGGAACGGTTGCTGTGCTTCCCCGGGTGTGACTGATTCAGCAGACAGGTCCACTGGCACAAAACTGTCCACAGAGCCCGCGTTATTCCTGTGAGATCAAATCAGCTAGAGTGGTCACAGGCTAATCCACTGCAGTGCTGTCTGTCAGGGCTAGCTGAGAAGTAACACACCACGAGACCCTGCTTCGGGTCTCCCTTTAGCCTACAGAGGAAATCCAGGGTTATAGAGTAAGCATCTTAACAGCCCAAGTCTGGACCCAGAGTTAATGCACACTAAACGTGATGGCGGTGTGTCCTCCGATGGTGAAAGCCAGTATTCAACAGGAATCTTACAGAATCGGTTCCCTAAAGCCCAGGGTGTTAGGGACAGTGTAATGCCCCAGAGGAGAAGAAAAGAGGAAAAAGAAACATAAAAGTTTTGTTTTTTTTTTTTCTTTTTAAATCTTCCGTGCTGTGGTACGGGAAGGAGGAAGCAGGCGGAGGCCAAGGCTCCTAACGATGTAAGGGTCTGTTGTGTATTTAGAAGGCGATAACAGGGAAAGATGGACACAGAGTGAGTAGAGAAAAGTGAGGATGGAAAAGAGTCTACGACTGACACAAACCTTAGCGAAAAAGTAAAGGGGGACAAATGAGAAGGGAAGAGGAAAGAAAACCTTGGGAATGAATCAGTTACAGGAGAAAGACGTCAGTCGAGGTGATATGGATAAAAGTAGGAGGGACAGAAAGGATGAGAGAGAATTCCTTTATCCTCTGTAAACTATACTGCGACGAAAAGAAGCTCGAGGAAGAGAAACCCAGACACACTCAAAGGATGAAAGAATGGAACAAGTGTGGAGGGAAACGTACATAAAGAGGAAAACGGCAAAAAATACAAAAGTAAAAAGTAGAATAAAGAGGAAAAAATTATGCAATCAAATAAAGATAACAAAAGGAAGTTTTCTCCAGTTTGGGGCTCGCGGCTGATTCCTCAGCCTCGGGTGAAGGAGCAGCTCTCACGCCAGGCGTGCTTTGCTCCCGCCGGAGGGTAGGGCCGCGGGCCCGGACAGGGCTGGCTGCGGACGTCTGCTGGCAGTGAGACAGCCGCCGTGTGCAGTCCGCCCTGCTGGCTCAGGCGAACCGGGCTCTGGCTGCGGGAGCCCAGGCTGCCCTCTCCCTGCCTGCGTCCCGGTGACTGTGCTTCCCCGCTCGGGGAGCTCGGGGGTGCAAGCAGCCGGGGGCTCCGGGCCCGGCTCAGACCCCGGCCCTTCCCTACCGCGGTGCCCCTGCCGGCTCTTGCTCCAGGCGGAGGCTGCAGGCGCGGGTGCCGCGGTCACTCACTTGCTTGTGGAAGGCTGCTCTACAAGCAGCGTCCCGCATTTTCCTTGCGTTCTTTTAGCCCCAGTGCAGCTCTCTGGTTCTCCCTGAGCTAAACAGTTGTCAGTTTCCTCTGGCCTCGCAGCTGGCGGAGCCAGAGCTGTGGGCGCACTGCACGCTCTCTCCTCCGCGTGTGACCTAGTTCCGCAGCTTAATCCCGTCGCCTGCTCCTCCCGCGGGCGCCCTGGTTCCCGGCTCCCCGCCCCTCCCTGGGGTTCCTGTCCAGCTATTGTTTTCCGGACTCAAGAAACTTCCTCCCGGGGAAGCTGAGTTGGGGGCACTCACCGCTCCACCATTTGGGGACTCTTCAAACCTTTTCAGCTATTACTTTTGAGTGATTTCTTCTGTGAGACTTCTATTCTCACTCTTTGTGTTTTTTCTAATATGGACCTATGCAGACTCCTCAGCAGTCATCTTTAAACTGATCTCTAATAACTGTTTTAAAAACCAGCTCTTCTATCACTTGAGATGTTAGTAAGAATTGCCTCCTCAGCATTCTATAGCGATGATGAGGAGGAGGCCAAGGAGAGAAAACAAAGAGACCAAGAAAAAGCAGCTGCTTTTGCTGCACCACTAAGAGAAACAGATCCCAGGTCTGATTCCCGGGGCTCCAAGAAGAACTCGACAACTGCATTCATCTGCTACCACTGTTAAAAGCCAGGCCACCTCAAGAGGAACTGCCCTAAGAGGCCCCATGGGCCATGCCCTGGATGCAAAGGAGACCACTGGAGATCGGTCTGCCCTCTGAGGTGGAGGCCCCAGAGCTCAGACCCATGCTACCAGTGAGTCCAACAGGAATGAGAGGGCTTGGGGCATGGTCTGCCTTCTCCCTCTGGCCGGACCGTCATCTCCATCAAGGAGCCCTGGGTAATCATGACTATGGAGGAACAAGAAAACAGCCTGTTGCTAGACACAGGTGCAAGTCTCTCGGTCCTTCTTTTCAATCCTGGCCTTCCTTCCAGCCATCATACCTCAGTGAAAGGAGTCACTGGTGAGGAGGTAATATGCTATTTTTGACAACCCTTAGGCTGTAACTCCTTAATAGGTCCCTCTTGCATATCTCTGTCTTCCTGAGAAACCACTCTGAAGATACCACCATGTATTACAGCAGCCATTGATATTTTCCTACTAATCTATCCATAACTGTTTAAAGTTTGTAATGTTCCTATCCTATTTCATAAATGGATGTATGTTTATTATTATGTGTTTCCTACAACAACCATTGAGAAGAGTTAATGATTTTTCAGTAGGTCACTAATGTATAGCTCTATTTATTTTCTTTAGAAGCCACTTTGAAGATACCAAAGTATAGTACAACAACTCTTGATAATCTCCTACCTCTTTTGTCTGTAACTCACTATTATTTGTCTATTTGTTTTCCTGAGAAACTATTTTGTAGACAATAATATGTAAAATGATAACCATTGATAATTTCCTACCATTTTGTCTGTAATTTGCTAAGTCCCCCCTATTATTATGTTATCCTTCTTTTATTCTTTAAAATAAAAAACAAAAACAAAAACAAAAGTGTTAAAAACCAGCTCTTCTGTTCCCGCACACAGAGGCTCTTAGTTGCTAAGGTTTGCTCAGAGAGCAAAGTCCCTGCCTTTTAATCTGGCCCTCAAGGTTTGCAAGCAGCTCTCTACCCCGCAACTCTCTACCTCCACATTTGAATAGTCTTCGTATATATTATACACCATCCCGCCCGAATTAGCCATTCTTGAACATGACTGTGTATTTCTACTTCCTACCCTTTTCTAAAACAAATCATAAATTAAAATTTCAGTTTTACCATTGAAATTACGACCCATTCTTCAACGTACTAGTAAATCTATATCTACTTAAACCTTAAAAGAATGCTTACATTATAGTAATATCTTCATTTTAGAGGGGAGAAAACTAAGGCTCACATGGGTTCTGTGATTTAGCAAATGCCACGTGACGAATGTACAGCAGGTTAAGATTCTAACCCACGTCTCCTGACTTTGACTCCTAAATTCCCTGAAAATAAGACCTAACTGAGAAATAATCAATCAGCCTTGAAAACGAGAGATCAAAAGTGCCAGCCCCAATCACCATGGTAACGAGCAGTGCTTATTTTCTGGGTAGGTCTTATTTGGGGGGGAACATGGCTTCCAGATCCTGGGGTAAGTTTGCTGGTAAGGACTAATTCAGGAGACGTCTTACAACTGCTTTATACCGAACTGAGGGATGGGATCTCATTGTTAAAATAAAGTTACTCTGAGTACATTGCAGAACTGTGACCTGCGGGATTGTGCTACTGCTTGGTTATGAATGAACATCACGTACCTTTTCCTCTTGCTTGGCCTTTCTTATGTCATCATTTTCGAATACCACGGTGACCCCTGAGAAGCTTGTGGCCTCGGAGCTACTTTTGACTTCTGCGGCTTCTATGACTTCTGTGACTTCTGTGACAATGTTTACATCAGGGAACTCTGTGACCTCATTTTCCGGAATATCCGTGACATCTGTGATGTCAGTAACATCTGTGAACTCTGAGAAATTTATGCTTTCTGTGACATGTACAGGGTCTGTGCATGGGTATGTGTGTGTGGTCTGTATATCTGCGGATGCTGTAATACCCATGATGTCCATGGAACTTGTGACTTCAGTGCTATTTGTGATTTCCGAGAGGCTTGACACTTCCGACACTGTGGAAGCTTTGGCTTTCTCCTGATTTAGGTGGTAGATGAGGTCCATCCATTGGGAAAATAAGGCATCTTGTTTATTCGCAGGGACGCAAAGCTGCAGGTAGTAGGCTCTACCACTCACCAGCTTTACTTTGAGGCACATATTTTTAACGTTATGCACAGAAAGGGTCACAAACTGCAGAGGAAGAAACCTGCAAACAAACGCCAGTGTAACTATCAGGAGACCTGGTTGGAGATCTGTAAAAAGGCCTTGCCTTTAATATTTTCTAGCAGGAGGACAACAGGCGTGTATCACAGTTGGCTCTCAGCAGGGATTCCTGAGAGTCATCTGACCTTATTGATGTGCTCAAGGCTCTGATGTACTAAAAAATCAGAATACTAGCTACTGATCACAAGACATCTTCCATTTTAATTAATCCTTAAAAATGGACTCTTAGAGATGTTCAGAAATGTGCTCAACGCCGTGGAGCAAGTTCATGGCGGAGACAAAACCAGAGGTAATTCTGATAGAAGCTGGGATTTTGGAGGGAGAGGAGGCATATTCTTCAGAAGCGACTTATTATGAGTTTTCATTTCCTGTCACTTAGTCTTAATTTTTAAAAATCAAATGCATGTCGGATTGCTTTGGTTGTAAACCATTTTCCTCAACTCTAAGGGCACCAACTTGGTCAAGCAGGAGAGCAAGTGGGGTGCTCCTTTGGAGCGATGGTCACCAGCGTTTCCGTTTTCAGCTCCCCAGGGGTAACGCCTGTTTTCTTTTCTGTGCAACTCACCTGGTGAGCACCAGTTTCTCTGCAGCAGGAGACGTCAGGAGACTTGTAAACAGCTCTTCTCCGTGCTCTTGTTCAGTGGGTTTCAGGTGTGCCAGCAGCATCACGTTGGGGATCTTCTGGGTAGAACTGGAAGAACAGATGCCCATAGTCACCCAGTTGGCTCGGTTATGGAGGTAAATGGATTCACCTCTCCTGTTGACCTGAGTGCAGAGAACAGGAGAGGAGGTTTTTGATAAAAGGCACGGCCCTGACCACCTTGCTTACTGGAGGAGTTGTGTGAGAGGTCAGGAGATAAAAGAGAAATGAAGCCGGATGCATCCAATCCTCTGCTTGCTTATGTTAATTTTTGGAGATGCCACATGGACGGACACAGCCCTGGGCTTGGGGGCGGGGAGCTTCTGGGGCAGGCAAACGTGAAACAATGTAAGTAACTGATTGCTACTGTACAAACTGTGACTAAGCACAAGTTCACCGTGTGGTGGGAGCACGTAACACGGGACTTGACTTAGCTTAGGGTGAGGACACAGCCAGCGATGCGCCGGTAAACATTAACACCTCTCAGAGGCACACATGTACACAGAAGCTTACATCTGACCAACTCTGACGAAGATAAAAATGTGCACTATAACAACCACTGTTAATCCCTATCATTTTGTTCTGAAACCCTGTATCATTCTTACAGATTTGCTTTGTTTTGTTTTTGCCTATGTTGTTGCCATTTTGCTATTGGTCTTTCTTTCCAATTCTCTTGTAAAATAAAGACAAATAAGTAAAAAGAAAATGTTGCTAACATAATGGATAAGTAGCACACAATTTACATTTTATGTATATTCTTCAAATTTCACAGAGCCAAGTGATACATTCTATCACTCTTTGTCAAACTCTTGTGCACATAGCAGCAAAGCATAGTGGATAGGAAAGCATGATAATAATAATAATAATAACAAAAAGAATTACAAGTTTTGACTATTTAGTTTCTTTGTTTTGGATATAATCTAATTGGAAGTTTATATAATTTAGTTATTTTTTTTTTAGGACCTGGGATTGAACCCAGGGCCTCACACATGCAAAACACACAATCTACCAGTGAGCTACATACCAGCAATATAATTAAATTTTCATTAGTGGCGGTGTTAGGTCATTCATGGTGGTGCATGCTTGTTGTTATAGCCACTCAGAAGGCCAAGACAGAAGATTGCCTGATCCTAGGCTAGTGGCTAGTTTGGGCAAATAGTGAGAAATTGGTTTTTAAAAATTAAAATAATACTAACAATAATGGCCATGTTTAACAACCAAATTGCAAACATCCCAAATAGCTACCAACAGGCCTGCTCCAGTTCACCCCTGTATATGGAGGTCAAACAAGTCCCTGGGAAAGGGACTGTTGGTGAGACCTGAAGGATGTGGGAGATATCCTGGCTGGGTGGAGAGGAGAGGGTAGAGATCTAGTATGTATACAAGACAAGAATCTTGGGCAACAATATCTTTGCTAATTGGTAAGAGAAGACTGGAGAAGGGGTGGTCAGAGATGAGAAGGAAGAGAGAGGGGAGCTACACTGCTTAGTTGTATGATAACCTGTGCAATGGAAATATAAACCGCTTAAAAGCAAACATTTCCAGAAAGAGGTTGTGGCCCACCCAAAGCCGCGTCTCTCTTCTGATTAACAGAATCCTGGGTGTATTTATCATCTGCCCCTCATGGATGGTGACTTCGCTGAGGGGTTAAATTCCTGTTAACCTAAAATTGACATGGGGACCCCACCTCCTTGGCAGACTGAGTTCAGCAGGGGGCATGTGGCCCAGGCCTGGTGGTTCTGGGAAATATTTCTCAGCCCCTTCACTAGGGGACACCAGGATGAGACTGTTTTCTTGTATTGTTGGCAGCTGTCACTGTCCTGTTTGGATGTGATGTCTTGCAACAGGGTGACAACAAAAAGACAGATCCGAGGTCCCTCAGAGTGCACAAGCATCCCGGTTCTTTCACTCTGTTTGAGATCAGTATGTTTGTTTGTCTGTCTGCCTGTTCTCTCACTTACGTCTATTCGGTCAGAAACCTCGGGGGCTTGTTGCCAAAGACATACGGGTCAGGAGAGGTCGTGCATCTTGAAGGGTCTGACATCACATTATGACACAGGCTGTGTCTGATCTATTGACTGCTAACCATCTCCCCCGTGCAATGCAAGTGTTACATAATTAGTGTGTGCAAAAGGTGATTTGAAAATGACATCGCAAGAAAGGTTAAAAATAAAATAAATCAGTGGGAAAGAAGCAGGTAGAAGGCAGAGGACATCAAATCATGACTTGTCACACATGATCTGGAGCATCACCGAACATGCTTCTGGAGGCTTTGTCTCCTGCCTGTAATATGCAGAGCTGGAGAGGTCACACTAGCACTCAGGTGTCAATGTAGAGAGCACATTTATGAAGAAAACCTCCTTACTTTTGGAGAAATATCTGTTATTTTTCTTGTAACCCTTGTGGAATCGGCTGAATCTGCTTGGATGTGTTGGAATTAGAGGTAATAGCGCAGTGTTCAGTACTAGACATTGTTGTGAGGGTAGCGGCCCAAACCACTGAGTTCATTTCTCTATTTCTTTTTCTTTTTTTGGTCTTTTTGAGACAGGGTCTCTGTATGCAGTTCAGGCTGGCCTTGACTCACTTTGTAGCCCAGGCTGGTCTCGAACTTGAGAAAATCCTCCTGCCTCAGCCTCCCGAGTGCTGGGATTACAGGTGTGTGCCACCAAGCCCAGCGTTTCCCTATTTTTGTGTGTGACTATTTTAGTGTTGCATTAGGGGAGAGTTGGCACTTCTTCCATGCACTGAAATGTAGTTCCATTTACAATGTAGGCACATTCTTATGGAAGAAAGTTTTTCTCTCTGACACTATCTGACAATTATGTTTTTCCTTTGGAGCTAAGAGCTATGAGTCATTTTAATTCCTAGTTTCTTACATACTTTTTTCCTTAAAATTTCTTCTAGAAAGAAGTCCTCTGAATGCCTCACTGTGACAGGATGTTCTAAAAATCACTTCTTATGACTTTGGTGAAGATTATGATAGAATTAGGGCAGAATCCCTGCCCAAGAGTTTGTATGGAACATTTGAAATGGATGTCCCTTTAGCACTGTAAGTATTCCAGGTTGTTTAAAATTCCAAAACTGTTTGCTTCAAGATACTACAAATTCCCTTGCCACTTTTGAAACAATGATCCTCTCAACCTTTCAGTTGTCTGGAGAAAATTAAATACTTAAGTTTTTGCAGCTTACTTTGATGCTTAAGTAGTTACCTGAATAAAATTGCTCTCTAGCATGGGAGGAGATACAAAAGGGGCATACTCTCCTTCATCCAGTATATTTTGAAGATGTCCGGGACCATGCCCATCGGCTGAATTCCTTGTGCTCTTCTTCATTGTGCTTAGACGAAAACATCAGAAAATAGAGGGCGTGAATACACAGAGAGAATATCATAATTAAGTTTCTTCATTTATTAGCCAGTTCAGCAAGTTTTATTAACACCTGGATACATCTAAACAGAACTGGTAAGAGCCATGTCCTCAGAGGTGACAGATTATAAGGAAAAGGCAGTTGGATGATAGGGACTATATAAAGATTGTAAAACAGATTCTTGTAATAAAAAGTGAGGGGCTACGAGGCTAGCAGACTATGAGGGCGTATTAAGGTGCTTGGGATAGGCCTCACTAGAAGACTCCTCAATATACATGGCACCCTCCCCTGATCTATTGCTTTCTGTATTCCCCATCGATGGTGACACTATTACCCTAGACATTATGCAGGTTCCTCAAGTCCTTTACACATAAGCAGGAGGTCAAACTAAACTGAGGATACTTCTTCCATTCAGTTGACTCATGACTGAGCCTCAGCTCTTGGTTGGGAGGTAAACAGTAGGTATCTATCTAATCAATAACAGTTCATGCCCCACTGTCTAAGTCTCTTTTTCTCCTCTCTCTCTCTCTGTCTCTGAAAATTGCTTCAACAGACAATGCCTCTGTGTCATTGGATTTCACCTTTCATCTGTCAAAAATGTTAATTCCAAGAAGTAAACAAGGCCCAGTAAACATAAAGATAGGCGTTCCTGATTAAATAGACATTTCTCAAAAAAAGAGGTGCAAATGGCCAATAATTATGTGAAAAAATAGATATCACTAATCCTTAGAGAATTGCAAATCATAACTACAACGACACATTACTTCACATCCATAAGGTTGGGTACTATTAAAAACAAACAAAGCCAAAAGACAAAGTCAGGCAGGGTAGTACATGCCTATAGTCTTAGCACTTGGGAGTTCAAAATTAGCTTGAACTACACAGTGGAACCGTGTCTCAAAACAGACAAAAACAAACCAGGGCTGGAGATGTAGTTAGTGGTAGAGCACTTACCTGGCATGCACAAAGCCCTTTATTTAACCCTCAGTACCGCAATGACAGCAACCACCCCCCCAATAACCACAAACGGAAAATAGGTAGTGTTGACAGGGGTGTGGAGAAATTTAAACTCTTGTGTGCTGTTGGTTGGAATGGGTATGGTATAGCTGGTATGGAAAATGATGGTGGCTTCTCAAAAATGTAAATGTGGAATGCTATACGACCCAGCAATTTCATTCTGCACATAGATCCAGAAAACTGAACACATGGTCTGCAGGAGATATTTGTAGTCCTTGTCCATAGCAGTATTAGCCCTAACAGCTAAAATGCGGAAACAGTCTAAATGTACACTGATAAACAAAATGATATATGTACAATGGAATATTAGCCTCAGAAAGGAAAGAAATTCTGACACATACTACAGGATGGGCGAGGACACTCTGCTAAGTGAAATAAGCCATCAGAAAGACAAATATTCTATACTACAGCTGCCTGGAGTAATCAAATCACAGAGACAAGTCGAATGCTGGTTGTTGAGGGGTGGCGGATGGAGAATAGGGGGTTAGTGTTGAGTACAGGTTTTGGTTTTACAAGATGAGAAATGTTCTGGGGATGGATGGTGGTGATGGTTGCAACAGCATTATGAATGTATTCAATATCACTGAACTATACCCTTAAACATAGTTAGGACGGTAACTTCTATGTGTATTTTACCATAATAATGAAAAAAAAAAGATTTCCCATCTCTTTCACAAACTGCACACCAGTGACAGAGTACTTAACTGGCACCATTGATCAAGCATGTGATGTGCACACGTGCACACACGCACACACAGAATCTCTCTTCAGTCCTTTCTCAGAGACTCCTTTTCTTCCATAGCCTGAGCAGAAGGTCAGGAAGTGAGCACAGCTTGTGGCAGCCCCGCTAGGTCTGTGAGGTACAGAACCCTCCATGACCCGGAGTGTGCACACAGGGCTCTGGGCACAGCCAGCCATGGGAATCCAGCTCCAAACACCGTGAAAGCCATCAGACCTCCCCCGGTGGCAACTCAGTGGCTCCCTTTGCTATACCTTATGTTTGAACAGAGGGAAAGGGAAATGTCTCAAGAAGAGCGAGAAGGTACAGAAGTTGAAATACTGCACAGAAGCTGCAATGAGACAAAAAGGAGCACTCAGGGAAGAAAAGGAGAGATGCACCACCAACACCACCTAAAACAGGAAGGATGAGAGATAACAGTCAGCACGTTGTGTTTGTGCTTATTAAGTGGCAGGCAATAAAGTCTTTACATGGACTCTCTCATTCAACTTGGAAAATGCTATGATGGAACACTATTGAGACGCTCGTTTTACACACAGCCATGAGGCCTTAGAGAGGGAAACCGTAACATCACACAGCTCAGACTCCAGCGAAGGCCGAGCGGTCTGGGTCCCTTACCCCGCGGCCCTCCCGGCTCAGAATCTCATAGCAGTTCACACAGCTCTCCAGATAGCTAGGAGAGCTGCCCACTGTCAACGGCATCTTTGCACACTGGTCTCCGAGAGAGGAAGAGAACAACAGGGCTTGGAGAGCAAAGTAAGTAGGAGGAGAGGGAGAGAGAGACACAAGGACCATCCGCAAGGTCGGGCACCGCTTACCTCGACTCAGGGCCCGGCCACTCTTCTCTGCTGGAGACAAGGTTTGTAACTCACTTCAGTCTGGGCTTCCTCCTTTTCATGGTGAAAACTTTGTGAAAGAAACAAAAATAGAAGCTTAAGTATTATGCAGAGGAAGCTCATTGCACTTCTGTCCCTTACGTCCACTTTTCCTAACTGTAGTAGGTGGGCAAAGATAGAGGGGTCTGCTGTCCACATCTGAACCCAGCCACTGAGGATGGCCACGGGCTTCTGTGAGTGGAACCGGAGCCATTGCTTGTCACCGGCCCGACACTGCCAAACAGTGAAAGCCCAGGCTTCTCTGACCCAGAAGACATTTGATCAGTGTAGCGGAGGAAGTAATACAAAGTACCGCCTAAGCTGTGTCTACATGCTATTTAAATTGTGTGCTATAGTTACCTGAAGCTTTATGTGGACATCTATTAATATTGAGAAAGTCCCAGCACAAAACTAGCAGAACACGTCAGAGGCAAAGTATTCCCTTAAGAAATGCGCAGAAGATGACAGAAGAGAGAATATTGTGTGGGAAATTTCTAAGTAATAAGAAAGCATTGGATAATGTAATTAGCAGCATTTTTTCTTTCTTATTGGTCCATAAAATAATGGTATATCTTATTAATGATGGGCTTAGCTTTTATTTATTTATTATTTTTTTTGAGACAGAGTCTCACTATGCAGTTCAGGCTGGCTTTGAGTTCACTATGTAGCCCAGGATGGCCTTGAACTTGTGCCAGTCCACCTGCCTCAGCCTCCCGAGTGCTGGGATTACAGGTGTGTGCTGCCATGCCCAGATGGATTTTAGATTTGAGGAAATGCAGCCGTCAACTCATTCATCCAGAGCTGGGTGATAGCGTACCTATTAAAAAAACTACTCAGAGACATGAAAACAACCACATGTTGGAAGTTGTAGTTTAGAGCTACTTGCTAATTAGTTGATGCCACACGGCCCTGGGACTAGGGTGTGCCTTTCTCAGCGAAGTCACTTATGTTCCCTCCAGGGCCCCTTGGCTCTGAGAACAATCCCTCCAGAGAACAGTTGGCAGAAGACCTCCCAGGGGAGCAGGTGTAGCTGTGGAATCAGGACACAGAGATGATGAGGAGGGGAAGGGAAGCGGTTTAGAGGATTTGAGCCAGGAGTGGGCTTTGCCTCTCGTCTCTTTTGAACCTGGAACAAAGATGAGGCGAGCTGAGGAGCAGAAAATGTAACAGGCTCTTTCCTGATCTCTGATGTGATGGCTTTTGTGTCTATAATTTTATCCTGGAATTGTTTTGATACTTTTGGATTAGGTATGCCTTGAATTTTGACTGTGTTATAATTGTGATTTGATATTATCTGTAAACAACACACTCTCAGTCTCTCCAAGTATCCTGGTTAATTAGTCCAGACTATACTGTTCTTCAGACAGATGAGCGGTTCTGTGAAACCAGCTTGCTCTCTCTCTCTCTCTCTCTCTCTCTCTCTCTCTTGCTCGCTCTCTCACACACACACACAGACACACCTATATACTTTATCAGTGGTTCAGAATTAAATGATTACATTAACTACATAGTAAGTTCACTTTTAATACCTGGTGGCAGTATGAAAATTTTGATCTTTAGAGTTTTACCAATAGATTTTTCACTTAATTATTTATTATATATTAACATTTTCCCAGAACATTAAATATCATTTAAAGCACTAGTTACCAATCATAGTGTGAAGCTATTTGGAACATCATAACCTCTCATAAGACATGCCATTAATTGTACCTTGTGATTAAATGGATGTTTGAGAAATTATTTTCTTTCAAAAAGAAGTGGATAGATTCAGGGCTCTGTATCCCTTCCGTTACTTGTACTTGGCTTTGCTTTTTTGGGGAGTGGGGAATAAGTTCGTTCAGCCCCCGTCCTTTTACCCGGTAAGTAGATTTTCTGCTGTTTATTAGTGTTGGTAGTTTAAAATAATTTTATTTTGTATGGACTGGAATATTGTAGATAGTCTTATTTTCCTAATTATCTATCTATCTATCTATCTATCTATCTATCTATCTATCTATCGTGACAAGTTCTTGTTATGTAGTCCAGGCTAGCCTCAAACTCATGCCAATCCTTCTGCCTCAGCCTCACTAGTGTTGGGATTACAGGCACGAGAAAGCATGATTGGCTAATACTTTTATCTTTAAATCAGTTTTTTTTTGGAAATGGGCTCTCTGCCCAGGCTGTTCTCAAACTCCAGGGCTCAAGTGATCTCCAGTTTCAGCCTCCTGAGTGCTGGGACTATAGGTGCGCATTGCTGCAACTGACTTAGATCTGTTTCTAAAATCGCTTTATTGAGAAATAACTTACATACCACCCAGTTCACTTGCTTAAAGGGTACACATTTCAGTGGCGTTGCAAGCATCATCTCATCTAGAACATTTTTACCATTATCTACAGATACACTTTTAATGAGGACGAATGACAAAAATGAACAGTGCATGCATCTACCTTGTACCACCTGATCACTGCACATCAGAGGCAGAGATGACATCACAGTCTTTAATAAGGAGCAGTTAGAGCAGGGAGATCTTGTGTTGAAACTTGCAACAATGTTACTTCTACTAATAAGTTGAATATTTATAGATTTAATGTAACTATTTCAAACAGTAAAAATCTTATGCAAATTATGTAGGAAAATTCATACTATCATGATTTGTTAATATATGTGCATTAGAGCTCTACAGCATAACGTTTGTAAATAAAAAGTAAATTTTGGCCAGGC